GTGATTGGTCATGTGGGATCCAGTCACCTTAACCACCAGGCCATGGGCTGGCCCTGTAGTGCTAAATTTAAAGGAATCACTGCATTTACAGTTGAGTTTTCACTGGGAGATATAGTAGCTGAATTATTTTCAGAATTGGATACATTTATGGGAAATAGTAAATGAAATGGAAATTTTATGGCCATAGAGTTGGCTGCTTGATCTGTTTGTAAGCTAACCAAAATATACTTTATTTTCCCATCTTCAAGGGAAGTGAACAGAGAGAATGGATGAACTGATCACAGTGACCAAACCAGGACACGATAAAAGGAGGACTGTAATTTTGGTGTCTTGAACCTGAGTTCAGGGGGCTTTTCAGGACTCTGCTGCTTTTTAAACTTTAAGGCACAGTTCATTTAAAAGCCCTCTTTTCTGTAAAGAGGGTTTGTGAAGAGCTAAGCTCTGTGTGACCTCAGCAAATCTGTAGCTTTTGCTGTAGCCCTGCCCTGGGGCCATGCCTTGCCCCTTTGCCACCTGGTGCAGAGCATTGGTGGGTTGTTTCAGCCTTTCCTTCTTCCCTGGACCACTCCCCCCCCCTTTTTTTTAAGATTAAAATCACATTTATAGTGTGTTTTTCCTTCTTCTGACAGCAACAATACACGTTAATTCTAGAACCTGTAAAAAAAAAAAAGCTGCACCCAAAAAATAGCTATCAGTAAATTGCCAGGGATAACCATGGGTAGGATTTTAAAAGATTTTTCTAGTCTTTTTTCATGAGCATGATCATCTTTTTTGGGAGTTTTTTGCTATAGGGCGTGTGCTCACCAGAAAGACAGAGAAACAGAGAGACAGAAAACAAGAAATCATCCCCCGAGGGGATGGCCACACCACAGTTTCTTCTACTCCATTCTCCTCTTGGGATCTTGGGCATGCATGCACATGTGCCTGGTGTGAGTTTAAGCTACCAGGTCTGGAACTTGAACCATGGTTGACTACATGGGAGTCCAGTAACATAACTATTATGCCAACTGCAGGTCCCATGATCATATCTTTTTAAGAATCAAAGTAGAAATATAAATATATAGATTATATGTGGAAACCCACCGTCTCCAAGGAGAATAGAGCAGCCTCCTTTTTTTCTCTCTTTATTCATCTTAGCAGGGTGTTGGGGGTGGGCAAAGAGGGGACCTTTAGATTCTGAGTGTGTGCCCTGCCTACTTCAGGTGGACTGACCTGGGGTTCAGATGGTGGTCGGCTGCTCTAGAGCAGTGTATTACCACTGTACCATGACCCACACACTCTTTTTGTTTAAAAAATAATACACACATGTGTAACCATATTCAGTAAAACAAAAAAAGTGCCAGCCTCTTTCTCCTCTTCCATTAAGTATTGCCATCCTAACTTCTGTGACAGTATTTCTCTTTTATAGTTTTGCTCCCTATTATGTGTCCTCAATATAAGGGTTAACTTGTGCTTAGTTTTAAGTTTTATGTGAGTGGACTCATGGTATAATTGTAATCAGTGATTGATCAGTGACAAAGTCGACACTGTAGAGCAATGAAGAAGGAGAACTTTTTCAGTGAATGATACAGGATAATTGGCTCTCTCTGGTGCTGGGGGGAATGCAGTAATAATCTGCCTTATACAGTATCTCTCTTTCTCTCTTGTTTTTGTTTTTTGGTCCTAAAGAGCTATCTAGGGACCAGCAGGTGGCGTGGTGGTTAAGGTGTTGAACTCCCACATGGCCGACCATGGCTCAAGTCCTAGACCTGGTGACTTGAAAATCATGCTGGGTGTGTTTCCGTGCCTGCCCAAAGTCCAGGAGGAGAATGGAGAAGGAATTGTGGCGTGGCCATTCCCCCTGAGGAATGATTTCTTACTTTCTCTTTTACTATCTCTATCTATCTGTCCCTGGTGAGTGCATGTGCCCTATGGCAAAACAAAACTAAACAAAATAAATAAGAATCAAAGCCTCAAAATAGTTTATATTTCTTTTTCCTTTTCCTTTTCTTTCTTTTTTTTTTTGGTTGATACAATGTACTTTATTGATGGTTCATAAGTAGGGCTCCCTGAGCCCCTCCCCTTCTCCAGGGAGTCTGGGATGGAAAATGTGTCAAGGAGGAGAGATTCTCAGTGTGATGTGGACTGAATGGGAACAGGGCCTCCCCAGCAGCCAAGAACTTCTCTTGTCCTCGTCCTAATGCTAGGGCTGGTGGTCTGGGGTTCTACTCCTCAGAAACCATGTGAACCAGGAGGTCTACCACCCTGTTGCTACAGCCAAATTCATTGTTATACCAGGAAATGAGCTAGCCAAAGTGGTTGTTGAGGGCAATGCCAGTTTCAACATCAAAGGTGGAGGAATGGGTATCACTGTTGAAGTTACCAGAGACAATCTGGTCCTTGGTGTAGTCCAGGATACCCTTCAGGGGGCCCGCGATGCCTGCTTCATCACCTTCTCATCATATTTGGCAGCCTTCTCCAGGTGGCATGTCAGGTCTGTGACTAGGACATGTTGCAGGGTGGGGACATAAAAAGTCATGCCTGTGAGCTTCCTGTTCACCTCTGGAATGGCCTTGCCCACAGTCTTAGCAGTGTCAGTCAATGCCAGGATAATGTTATGGGCAGCACCATGGCCATCATGCTACAACTTCCCTGAAGGGCCGTTTACAGTCTGCTGGGTGGCAGTCATGGCATGGACTGTGGTCATGAGTCCCTCCACAATGCCAGAGTTGTCGTGGATGACCATGGCCAGGGGTGCTAAGTAGCTGATGGTGCAGGAAGCATTGTTGGCAGTCTTAAGGAAGCTGTCATACTTCTTGTGGTTCGCGCCCACACAAACATGGGGGGGGCATCGGCGGAAGGGGCAGAGATGACCCTTTTGGCCCCACCTTCAAGAGAGTCTCAACCTTCTCCATGGTGGTGAAGACATTGGTGGACTTCACAACATATTTAGCACCAGCGTCACCCCCATTTGATGTTGGTGGGATCTTGCTTGTGGAGGATGGTGATGGACCTCCCATTGATGACAACCTTCCTGTTTTTAGCCTAGACAGTGCCGTCAAACTTGCCATGGGTGGAATCATGCTGGAACATGTAGACCATGTAGTTTAAGTCAATGAAGGGATTGTTGATGGCGAGAACTTCTACTTTGCCAGGGTTAAAGGCAACCGTGGTGACCAGATGCCCAATATGGTCAAATCCATTTACCTCACCCTCATGGCTCCAGGATGGCTAGCCCTGCACCAGTAGATGTGGCTGTCTGTTGAACGGGGAAGGGCGGAGAGCCACGGGCTCCTCTTGAAGAGCGGAGAGCCACGGTCTCCTCTTCTTTATGACTACATGATCTTTGTATCTCAGGCTTATTGATTGTTGGCATCATTTGTTTCTTCCAGGTCTTATCCCACCCACTCACCCTTTTTTTCCCCCCTGTCTGTGTGGGTCTCTTTTATGTAAGAGGCTTTTCTCACTTGTCTGGTAATTATTTCCTAGTGGTGAATCAAGAAGTTCTTTGGACACTTTAAGCACATGGATGTAAGGCCTTTTGACTTTGTTTTGTATCAAGATATTCTGGGGGGACCAGCAGTTAGCGTAATGGCCATGTCGCTGGACTCCCAAGTAGTCGACCATGATTCGAGTCCCAGACCCAGTGCCTTAATTAAACTCACGCTGGGTGCGTGTGCGTGCGTGCGTGCCCAAGATCCTGAGAGGTGAATGGAGGAGAAGGGATTGCGGCGTGGCCATCCCCCGTGGGGGCTGATTTCTCGCTTTCTGTCTCTCTGTCTCTTTCTGTCTGTCTTGGCCAGCACACGTGCCCTATAGCAAAAATCTCTCCAAAAAAAAAAAAAAAAAGATTCTGGACAGGCCATCTGTTGGGAAATCCTCAGTGTTGGTATCTTTAGGTCTTTGCTTTAGCCGATCAGAATCCCTAATAAGGATAGATGGTCTAACAGTCTCTTTCCTTCAGGGTAAAGATCCAGCTACCTGAATTCTGGGAGCTGAGTGTGCAGAAGGTGGGGTGGGAGCTAGAATGTGTACTCAGTGACTAAACCCACCCCTGGTATGCCTCGTCAGGTTGTCTTCTGTCTGAAACATTGCTTTTTCCAGAGTCGTCTTCTGGGTTGGGGAGAGGGGTCATATAAAGGCATAGAGTGAATTTGTTGCAGGATAGATGTCCTTCACCCAGCCTCCATCTTTGTTTGGCCTTTTTCTTCTTTACCCCCAGTTTTGTGTGCAGTTAGTGTGACCAGCTCCGCAGGTTCTGCCCTGTGGGTGGACTTGGCCATCAGTGCTGCTGGCTGCTGGCTGCTGGCTGCTGGCCTACGGTCTGGCTGGCTTGGACCTGCTGAGTCATTTGCTGTGCTTTAATCTTTTACAGTTTCAGTTTCCTCCCAGTTTTTTTTTCCTTTTCTTTTTTTCTGTTTTCTGTCTTCTGTATTAGAGGCTTTTCTCACAGCTTCAAGTTTTGTCACTTGTTCTCCTTTCAGTTCTTGCTGTCCCATGTGTTTGATTCTTTAAGTGTCCTATCTTTTTTACATTTCCTTAATGTAATTTTAGTTGGGAGGGAGTAAGGTAGATGTTTTTTCTGTTTGGTATCGCACCCCTAACTTAACCAGCCAACATGACAGATCAGTTTATGCTTGTTGATGTTTTAATAGTTATCAGTCATTCCATATGTATTTTTTTATAAAATAATTATTTTTATTATTATTTTAAGTTGCTATAGGGCAGGTGTGCTCACCAGAGAGACGCAGAGAAGTGTGGGGGGAGTGATGAGAAAGCAAGCTGCCAGGTTTAGGACTAGAACTGTGGTTGGCCATGTGGGAGTATAGTGCTTTAAACACTGTGCCACCTACTGGCCCCTGCATGTATTTTCTCCAACTAGAATAAGGATTTGAAGACCGGCCTCAAAATTTTTTTTATTCCTCAAAGAATGCATGGTAGGTAGTGAAGAAACACACATGGGGTCGTGAACACAACAGAACTTGGAAAAAGCAGTGAGCTGCATCTTGTCTGTCTTTCAGGTTCCCTCTGAGTACTATGGCAAGAGGAAAGAGAAACTAAGAATATTTTTAAATAGTCATTTTGTTTCTTCACGGAATTACTGTGGCCTTCTGAACTGTGAGTATAATTCTTTTTCGCCCTTATATTTTGTATTTTTTCTTTTGTGTTTTTCACGTTCAGGGTCTCTGATGTAGAGTAGAAACAGGAGGCAGTTGCTTTTGCAGGGTAGGCGAGGGAGGAGACACATGTGGCTTAGTGCTTACTATGTGTCTTGATAGACTTGATAGACTTCTCTGATACAGGCAGGTAGTATAATGATGGTAGTTAATATAGCAATAACAGATGCTTAGAATAGTGTTTAGTACATTATAAACACTTTTTCTTTTTTTAATTGCCAGAGAACATGGTTGCTCACTAGAGAAACACAGAAAAAGGAAGAAAGCACCCCTAATGGGATATGGTCATGCAGCAATCTTTTCTCCATTGCTTTATCCTATTGGGGTTTGGGGCATGCATACACATTTGCCTGGTGTTTGTGCAAGCTGCTCAAGCTGGGACTTGAACTGTGGTCAGCCATGTGGAATCTAGCTTCCTTTAACTGTTGGGCCACAGGGCCCGCCCATTATTGTGAACACTCAAGTTGCAGTTGTTGATTGAATTCCTACAGTAATTTTCTGAGTAAGGTTTACTGTTCTCCCATAATCTATATTTGCATAAGCCAAAATATAGAAAGGTTAAAGGTTATTAATTAGTAAATGGCAAAGCTGGCATTCAGATTTGTTCTGGTGTCAGTGTGTGATCGTTACTAGTACCTTATTCTCATGGACTCTGGATCCAGCAGGTGTTGGCTTAGCTACTTATTTACTATTTTAATCTTAATCATAATATTTAATCTACCTAAACCTAGTTTTTTCATCTGACAAAGGGAGTCAGTATAGATTCTCCCTGTGGGATTGTATAAAGTGCTGTGAGAAATGTGTTTAACAATGAACATTCTTGGCAGTTAGCGGCATGGTCCCTGTTTTGATGAAGGAACATTCCTAGAGAGAACAGACAGCTTGTAATTTGGTAGTCCATAGCTTGTGGAATTTAGTTCTCGTTCCACAAGTGGGAAATTATAGCATTGAGAGTCCGTCTCAGTTGGTCTTCTTTCCTTTTTTTTTTTGGAGAGGTTTTCTCTATAGGGCGCGTGCGCTCACCAGACAGACAGAGACAGAGAGACAGAAAGCGAGAAATCGCCCCCCAAGGGGGATGGTCACGCCGCAGTCCCTTCTCCTCCATTCACCTCTCAGGATCTTGGGCACGCACGCACACGTGCCCGGCGTGAGTTTTAAGCCACTGGGTCCGGGACATGAACCGTGGTCGACTACATGGGAATCCAGTGACATAGCCATTACGCTAACTGCTGGTTCCCAGTTTGTCTTATTTCTAAAGACAGTTTTTTGGCTAGGTCTGGTGGTAAATCAAGGACAGATAGGTATATAGAAAGTCCATAAATCTCTCTTGGGGTGTTGGCATTGCTAAGCTTCTTGTTTTACCAATATGTTGCTACAGTAAATATTAGGTAGTTGGGAAAGTTATGACATACTTTTTATGTTTTTTTTATCCAAAAATGTGTCATGACTTTTCCAGCAACCCAATACTTAAGCATAACTCAGACTCCATGAAGTCAGAATTCATGTAATTTTAACCAGTATTGAATTCTACTTTGGCGGGTGTCTTTGAGTAAGGGCCCTCATTGTTTTTCCATTTCCATGTGAGGTATAGTTTACTTTTCCCTTTGTTCTCCTTCTCCCAAATCCCCTTCTGTCTCTGCAGTAGATAAGAGGGAAGGGACTACATTGTACTGTTTCAGTTTGCAAGCAAGGCCTAGAAATCTGGCTCCTGTTGTCTAATTCCTGCAGCCCTTTATGGGCAAAGGAGAAGCCTGTGCTATGACAGATGTGGACAACTGATACAGCCTGCTCTTTGCTTCCCCCTCCCCCATCCATCTTACACCTTTTTCCCTGTAACAGTGCCTTTTATTTGTTTGGGTGCAAATCTGCTTTTAAAAGTCCTTGAGGGTAGTTTCTGTTATTTCATCTCAACCCACAGTGAATTTTTTTCACCAAATGCTGACTGAATAATGTTTAATGCTTGTCACAAAGTAAGTTTTTTTTTGTTTGTTTGTTTGTTTTTGCAATAGAGCATGTATGCTTGCCTGAGAGAGACAAAGACATGAGGAGGGGGAGTGAGAAATCACTCCCGGGGGGATGCCCACATCTCAATCCTTTCTCCTCCATTCTCCCCTCAGGATTTTGGTCATGCACACACATGTGCTCAATGTGATTGTCAAGCTTGTGGGCCCAGACTGAAATCACAGAGTTGACTATTTGGGATCCAGCTCTCTCAACATTTATGCCACCTGCTGTTCCTGAGTTCTCTTTTCTTAATAGATCCAAACAAAAGAGAATCTGAAATAGAATTTTCTTGTAATGTTAATTATAAAATGTTTTCCTCATTAGTATGGAGCACAAGACAATTTCATAGAGAAGTTACCGTGTGTTGTGTAATGTGCAGCTGAATGTAAACCTGACAGGTAAAGTGACATGCCAGCTCTTGATAACCCATTGACTCGTTGACATTTTTTAGCACTAGGATAAAATATACTCATCCTGGTTTGACTTTTTTTCATCTGGGGGGTGGGCAGCATTTGAAAATATATTAACTCAGGAAAGTAGCCTCATGACCCGTGTTCCAGTAATACAGCCTCCCACCCCCATTCTGCACAGATAGTCAGGCCATATAAGTAAATATGGCTTCCTACCCAGAGCCTTACTGGATGTGGAACTGAGACCAGTCCCCTTGATTTCTCTGAGCACCCCGTTATAAACTCCCTAAATTCAGTTGAACCCCTGTAGCGTGGGTTTGAGCTGTTGTGTTGGCGGCAAAAACTTGTGAGGGAGGTGTTTCAGAATTATCAGAGTTCTAGGAGAGCAACAGAGAGTTTGGGAGGAGTTGCATTGCTGGGTGTCCAGGAAGTTGAACATCGTGAACAGGAAGGAGGGCTGCCCTGAGACCCTGTGGCACACCCCCGTGTTTCTGAGTGAAAGTGTCTGTTTTTGCACCAGGGCAGGTGAGCGCAGATGAGATAGATTGATTCTGAAGTTTGGGGGCTCTTTTCTCAAGGTGCTAGATTGCCAGATCATGGCTCTTGTTCACACAGAAGTCTACTTTTGGTAGTGTATTTGAGAGACAGGGTGCAGGCAGTTTAATGTGGGCTAGATGATAGTGCTTTGCTCTGGAAGTGTTCATAAAGGTCCATGCCACCCACTTGGTCAGCACGGGCTCCCAGGGGATGTGGTGCCCTCATAGAGTCCTGACTAGTAGGTGTGCGTTGGCATGGCAGCTAGAAGAGAGCTTGGGGGTATGCAGCTTTTCTGCTAGAGCAGTGGCTGTGGTTGGGGAGAACAGAGAATGGCTGAGAAGCAGTGGCCTGATTGTGAGGTTTCCAAATCATATTTGGGAGTGTGATTTATGCTGGGGGCAGTGGAGATGGACTAGGCGGTGTATGTATGTATGTGTGTATTTATATGTGATTAAGAGTTAAGAGAGATCAAATAGATGTGATTAAGATGAAAAGGAACAATTTTCAATAGTCTTCTCATCCCCTAGTTCCATTCCTCATAATTGTCTTTTTACTTATTTTTAATTGCCTGAGGGTATATGCGCTTGCCAGAGGGAGAGAAAGAGGGCGTGTTCATGCTGCAGTCCCTCTTCCTCCATCCCGCCTTTCAAACAGGATTCTGGGCACGTGTGCATATGTGCCTGGTGTGTATTTCAAGGCACCTGGGCTGGGATTCGAACTGTTGTCATGTGGGATCCACCTCCCAGTGCACAGGGCCAGCCTCCATATTCATCTTCTTTAACCATTTTCCATTTTAGACTCTTGTAGTAACCTCCCTGACACTTCGTTATGTGTACATCTTACTATTTGTGGCTTCTCAATTTTAAGTGATCTCTTGATTTTCCTGATTTGGAATATAAGGATTTAGCTTACTTAGACTATTCTCTACATCTCTTCCTGTACCTGTCCTAGTCGGAGAGTTTGTATGTGCACTTTCCTTTTAAAAGTGGTTTATGTAATTTTAACAATGTCTTTTATTTGGGTCAATGATTTGTCTGGGTATCTTCACTCCTCTGTAAGATAAAGATAGCATTGACCTGAATATTGGTTTTTCCCCTCCACTTCTCTTGTGTCTGCCTGTCCTTTGTCCTATTTTTATGTTTTTGTTATTACTTTTACTTGTCAGAATTTTTAGCATTTGAATTAAATCTGTGTCCCTGGTCAGGTGTTCTGGAGGCTGCTCATGGATTGAACTCTAAAAATCAGCATAATTGTTTTTATTTATTTATTTATTTATTTATTTATTTTTGGAGAGGTTTTTGCTATAGGGCGCGAGCGCTCGCCAGACAGACAGAGACAGAGAGACAGAAAGCGAGAAATCACACCCAAGGGGGGATGGCCACGCCGCAGTGCCTTCTCCTCCATTCTCCTCTCAGGATCTTGGGCACGCACGCACACATGTGCCTGGTTTCAGTTTTAAGCCACCGGGTCTGGGACTCGAACCACGGTCGATTACATGGGAATCCAGCGACATAGCCATTACGCTAACTGCTGGTCCCAGCATATTGTTTTTCATTTTGGTGATCATTTTGTTATTATGAGTCTCTCTCTTTTATTTATTTTATTTTATTTTTAAAAAATTTGCTAGAGGGTACGTGTAGTGGCTAAAGAAAGGGAAAGTGAGAAAGCACTCCTTTATGGGAGATGGCCACACCAAAATCTTCTTTTCTGCATTTCTCTCTTTGGGATGTTGGGTATGCACTTTCATGTGTTCAGTGCATTTTCCAAGCCAGTGAGCCTGGGAATTAAACTACACACAGTCAGTCATGTGGGATCCAGCTACCTTAACCACCACATTGGCTGGGCCCTGTCTCTTTTTTGTGAGCACCTGTTTTTTTAAAAGAATTATTTTATTTAACTTTATTTTAATTTGATGAGAGAGAAAAAGAGAAAGTGAGAAAGCAAGCCACCAGGTTCGGGACTTGAACTATATAGTTGGCCATATGGGAGT